GCTGCGCCGCCCGCGGGGCGGTCGTCTGGCCGCCTGCCATTTCGCAACGACGGTTAGGGGCTGTGGGAGGGTTTTTTGCTTTATTTGTTTGGGTGGTGGTTGGTTTTTTGCACGTTTCCTCACAGCCCCTTAACCCCAGGGACTGACAGTGAGAGGAAGCTTCTAAAATTCTGTAATTCCACGCAACGCCTTTGGGCTTGTCCCGTAGGCCCCAAGGGGAGCACCTCAGGGGGAACGGCCACAGGGCCGCCATCACACACGCCGGGTATTGGGTGCAGCGGAGAAGTGGGAGTCACGGGCTGCCCCTGCAGCGTTACCCAGGGACAGCACCCAGGGAGTGACATCATGATACATGACGAAACAGGCACACCTGGGCACGTACCTGTGGTGTCACCCCGGCATCCCAGACCCCCGAGGGCACCCATGACATCGTTTCAGAGCCTGAGCGTGGCTTTGCCAGGAAACCTGCCCGAGGGACTACAAAAGTGAGTAGCAGTAGTCCAGGTTAAATGGTTTAAAAAAGGGAGTACTGTTCATGTTTTACATTAAAATGACAACATTTATCATCTTAGTTTTCCTAACTTAGCAACTTAGATCAAAATACTTAGTACATATTTTAGTCATATTCAGATACAGTTTTGAAATTCTCCCCAGTTGCCTTCCTGATTCTGTATATAGGAACTTTCAAAAGTTTTTCAAATTCTTAATGCCACGAAGTGTCTTTGGTTTGGTCCTGGCCTGTGACGTCAAAGAAAGCTCTTCCATCAGCATACCAGCAGCAAGACAACTCCTCTCATAAGCCAGTATATGTTGTCTCTAAAAAACTAGTGCTGCTGGGATATTTTATAATCTGCATACATTTTCTTTCATCCAAATAATTAATGGTGCCGTTCCACACTGCGAGGTGAACCACAGCCTACCATTACTGTATCAGCACTTCTTCAGCCAGCAGTCATATCACTAAAGTAAGCCCACCGGTGTCAGAGACCAATTTTTTTTCATTGAAAACAAACAGGAAAAGAAGTTCCGTTCTCCACGACAAGCTCATGCAAGCTTGCTACGCCTACAGTGTTCCGCCCCATTACACCCAAAGCAAAGGACACCGAGGACGCCTGATGCTCTTAGTGTATGATAAACTTTGCAGTTTAACGGGACACAACTGGACCACTGAGTCTCTGCAAAATGAACTCTGCACATACATGACGTTCTGCCTGCTTTGCTCTTTCAGCTTCCCAGATGGAAACAGGATTTCTATTAAGACGTTTCTAGAAAGGATGCATGGTTTTATACAGATTATTTTAAGGCAATAAGTCGCCAAAACTAAACAGCATTTATCTCTAGTACTGCAGGCTACCCTTGTTAAAAGTTATAGCCCTTGAATGTGGGAAAAGAGCTCCTAAAGTGATTCTTAAAAAAACAAAACAAAACCCAAGGGTGATTCTAGTAGTTATGCACCTGTAATTTTCACGTTCTTTGTATTATAAGTTATTTTAATGAAAGTTAAGAGTAACGCAACCGTGTAATACAGCATGACAGAATCACACAAAGACGGTCCCTATGCGAGGAACAGTAAACTTTCAATCCCGCCTAAGTTCTTTGTTGTCAAGCGGCTAGAAGTGACTTCACCAGTGACACTGAATCGTCAGAAAGCTGTCAGTCAAGGCACTGCCCTGACCACAAAGTTCAGGGCAGAACTACAACGTACAATTACAGACGACTGGGAAATCCTAGATGAACGCCGCTTTTCAGGCACATGCTCCAGAGAGACCCGTACTTCATGCCTGTTAAGTGGAAGGACATCGGGCATAAATTTAGCAAGTTAAGAGTTTTGAGATGGCAGTTCAACAGCTGGCGGTACCGTAGGGATGACTATGGCACGTACGATGCTTTATACCTACAGAACCGTATTGGGCTGTGCCAAAGGGTCCATCTTGTCCCGAATCCTGTCTCAAAGGAATGCTTAAGGAAGAGTGAAAATGGGAGGGGTGTGTTATAGGCCAGTACGCTTTCAACCTCCTACTGCTTCCACTTCAGAGAACTTCCCGAGTTGGATGTGACTTTGGTATGTAGTAATCTTTTCTTTTTTCTTTCCTGTGTGGATTTTCTTTCCTGTGGATTCCATTGGACCTGTCTTAACTCTTAGCATCAGCAGCTTCTTTGGCAATGAATTGGAAGCGGCCCTTCCACGGGCCTGCTGCCCAGCGCATCAAGAATCTGTTTGGTTTGAATATTGCTCCCATGAACTTCATCTAACGCCCTACTTCTTGTACTGGAGGAGACAAGTTGATTGGTATCCATCTTTGTCATACGGTGCATGGTTTTAGACCTACGTCTTTTCTCCTCTCAGTCATTTCTTTTCGAGACTGAAAAGCCACAGCCAACTCTATTATTATTTATAAGAAAGCTGTTCCATGTCTTCGGGATCATCTTTATTGCCCTTCTCTGAGCAGTTTCCACTTTTATGGATTTTTTTTGAGACGAGGGGATCTTTGCACAGCATCCAAGATAGGGGTGAACAATGACTTTATACATACAGTGCCATGCCCATGTTTTCTATCCCTTTACTAATAATCTAGAGGTGATTTTTTAAAAAATAATCGCTAAATCAGTATGCATTTTCTAGTTATCTTGTCATATCCTCTCAGCTTCAAGTCCATTTTTGGGAAATGATAACTTCACTTAATTTAATCATCAATCTGCTTATTCTCTAGTGACCATTAAAAACCTCACACTCTTTTTAATGTTGTTTTAATTGTAGCAGTCACTAGAAGCCCAAACCAAACAAAAATTAGCACTTGGGTGTTAAGTTCTGTGCATACCTATAACAACAGACAGTTCTGGCCCTGGAGGATTTATTATTTAATAATAATTAAGACAAAAGATGAGCAAAAGAAAATACCATCTTATTTCACACTTGGGAAATACCGGCAAAACAGCTTTCAACTGTTTTGGTAAGAGTTCGCAGGCGTCTTTGGTAGAGCAAACAATGCAGTTTTCCTCATCTGCAGCCCTTGGTGAGAAGGCAAAACAACTCGCTTGCTTTCACAGCGGTGATTTTTTTATTTGGGAATATGGACTGAATTATTATCTCTAGGTTTACGCAATAAAGCTACTAAATCACTCATTACGGTCTACTCCTGCAGAGTCAGATGAATTAAAACTCATGCAGACAGCGTGACTAGGAACTTGTGAGTTACAGCGGTCACTTTCCAAGACAGACAGAAAAAATGCGCCAAAAGCTCTGTCAAAGACCACCCTAGATCACTACCAAATGAGGCTTAGAGCTAGCTCAGCAAACTGAAATGATTTTGGAGGAGCTTTGAAGACACCCGTTTGAAGATACGTTGATCGTTGAAATTCTGCAACATCTGGCTGGGAGATAAGTACATGTGGCTAGAAAACAAGCACACCTGGCGTCCCTGTGCTATACAAGATAGGCAACAGAACGTGGCGGCACAGACAAAAGTCAAGATAGGTGCTTCAGCAGAGCCGCCGGGGAGACGGGTACCCACCCCACAGATTTCATCACTCGCTCTCCCTTCCCCCAATCTCAAAAGGCAATATAGAAGTTAGAGGCGGATAAACAAGGAGGACCCTTTCGTTGTAAGTTTCTAAATAGGTATTTTTAGAAACACACCTATTAAAGGACCCTTCCTATGTCCTAGCAGAGGAATTCCTGCATAGGAAAAAGAACCTTAAATGATCTAATAACAGTGTTTCATATTGATACATTGCTTACAACTTAAAAATCTTCATAAACAAGACTATGAAGTAACTGAGTAAATATTACCACCATTGTGCCAAGATGGACAGGAAACAACAACAGCCGTTAAGTGACTCTCCTAAAGAAACAGAAGGAATAAATGCTAGAAACAGGACCTAAATTTGGGGATTTTGATTTCAAGGGGCTTGAAATGGTGTTACCTCCCAGCAGGCAGACACTGCACTGGTAAAAAGGTGATACCTATTCCTGACTCCAACTGTCTGGCTGCATGCCTGCTTGTTTGTGACCCAGGAATGTAGGTTAATTGTGTTACTCAATCTTGGATTGCTGCTGTTGGATTGGTCTTGGCAGCTGTGGCAGGATCCCATTTTGCAACCTACCAACTGCAAGAATGCAACTGCATGCAACTCATCTTTGCCTGTGGCGCACTTTGATACGCTCTTCATGGGGCTGTATGCTTAGACCACGCAAATAAAAACTCAAATATAGACTGCAGCAATCTACTAGTAAGTGGATTTCACGTGAACATCACTGGACGCTGTGATACAGGGAATTCCCATGGTACTGACTTAAACATTGATTTTAAGAACCCTCGCACATCTGGGACCTAGTTATCTCACAGACTCTGCTAATCTGGACTGTTAGCAGAGGGAGAGGTCATACAGGGACTCAGCTTGATTTTAAGTGGGGAGAGCAGGAATTTGCAGTGGGCATTCCCGCCCTCCACCTGCAGAGCCTGGATGTGCTGCACTTCAAAACACTCAGCGTAATTTTTTCATCAAGGTTTTGGCTAAGCTAGAAGATGAATTGAGAGCTGGAAAGGATTTCTGTGATCTGTATCTGTGATATGCATTTATTTATGAGTGGGGACTAGAGTGGGGGAGATGGTGAAAGACCTTTCCATTATACTAAGTGATTGCAGTGTGAAATTAAATCATACAAGAGCTCAAAGGGCATAGAGTAGCCACACAGGTACAATTACAGATAAAAAGAAAAAATGCTAATAAATATTTCCCCCAATCAAGGTTTCCTCTTGGGAACTTGTAGTAACCCAGGTCACAACGTGAACCTTCTCTCCAGCACACGCTGTACAGAAAGGAGGAGTTTCCCCACATGACTTCATACTAATTACCTACAAATAGTCATACAAGAAAAACCTCAATCCACTCATGCTCTTCACAGCCGTGATTAGCATTTTCGTTTCAGAAGTTCTGAGTGACATCGCTTGCTCGGAATTCATTACTCAATCTCCCTGCATAATGTGTGGAAACTCACTGCTAATGTGTCAGGTTACACAGCACCTTTACGCAGTGCCCGGGGCACCTTGCAGCTGCCTGCAGCTTGCCCACCCTTCTTACCTATAGTTTCAGCCATTTTAAACTGATCAGCCCTAGAGCACTGGCATACAAACTCTTCTCCCAACAAAACTTGGTTCCGTTTTCTTTTTCTATGTATATAGTAGTAATTTTTAATTACTACTATATACGCCACTACAGCTGGTCCATGAACGTTTACAGATAGATCACAACAGCCTGGCGAGGCACGTAGGACATTTTAAATGCATGTTTTTAGGCCACAAGAAAAAAAGCAGCTATTGCTCCCAGTGGACTCAAAAAGCTTCAGGACGTCTAGATAGGTGGTTTGTCTGTGGGTGGGTGGGGAGATGCTTTGCATACTTAGGAAACAGTATTAAGGTACAGCAAAAG